ATGCCAAATGATAATAAAGTAATCGATGTGGGTTTTACTTTTAGCTTTCGTAATGATAATAAGATCATATACATTTTAAGTTATGTTATATTCTTTCAGTCTGCAAAATTGGTCCACCATCAAAAAGAAACAAAAAAAGATGGTCCAATAATTTTATATGGATAAATAAATATGATTCAATATAATCTATGAAGATGTGCCGAATAAGAATTTTTTATGCTCCTTTGTGCAAGAACGTTATGTGAGCAAAGTCGTAACATTGAGATGAGGTGGAATGTTTGGATATGGGCGGTGGTTTTCCATTATATTCCATTTTTTTCACTTTATGCTCAAATAATCCTCTAATCAATCTCTATAAACAATCGTTATTAAAAATAAAATCTCTATAATTATAAGCAAGCTACTTATAATATCATAATATCAATATGATCGTGACAGGATGTGGAATATTTTTCTTGAAATATAATCCAAACGACTAGAGCATCCCACAAATATATAGCTAGACATATGTGTATAGTATATGTGAGTTGGAATATTATTTTTTTTTTAAATCAAGATCGAATTTCGTATTATCATTTTATTTTTAGGGATATAGAAAATAGGGCAATTTTTAGAAAAAATAAATAAAGGAGTTTTTTTTTTATTTGACAAAACAAAATAATTAAAAGAGACATCAATATTCTTGGATGATGAGATTTTCCAACAAAAGAAGACAGTATCTTCTATATATTTATTGAGGAGACAATAATGTGAAATACCTATATGTCACTCAAAGAAAGTTTTAGAGAACACATTAATTAAATCAACCAATCATAACATTCCAATTTGCCTTTGTGGAAATCTCTACATATTCTACAAAAATATATATTTGCCGAATCCATAACCTGGAAATTCAAGCCGGTTCAATTAGTCGTATTTTGATCAGTGATAAATTTGGCTTTAACATCATTTTATAAAGCTGTTGAAAAACTTCTTTTTTTTGTAAATATAAGATGTAGATCACTCGATTACATTATTTATCATACATTATAAGATGATACTTCCTTAATCTTTTTTTATATACAATTAAACGCAAGACCTATTCATATTAATGTACTCAAAATTTAAAAACCGATCGGATAACTGTTTAGTGGATCTAATTATTTATCTAATACATTTGGTATGTATAATTCAAAACAATATATTTTTACAATGCAATAAAGTAAAGTTTATATTCACACGCTTGGCGTAGATCAAAATCTAGTTAACCGTGATATAGTTGCAACCAAAATTTTCTTGCTACAATCACAATGTCAACGTTGTTTATGTATGGAAATTACAAGGTGTCATGTGTTCTTGCTAGTTGCTACCATCTTTTTCTTTATATAAATGATTATTCAAATGCTGCAAGTTCTGCTAGATAAAAATGTAGGATTCACTAAACTAATGAATAGTTGATTAGATTCTTAAAATGTAATAGTCAAAACTTAATTAAAAAGCTATAATTGGACAAATGGTCAATGTATTAATTTAATAATTTAAAAACAATAGTTTATTGATAGACATAATAAACGTGTGTAATGTCATAGTTTATTTGAAAAATCACTTTCTAAACAATATCTAGGAGATACAAAAAGTTGGAAACTAGCATGAATTCCTCCGTCTCACCGGTCTAACCGCTAATCTCTCTCTAGTTGAATTCGGATTTGAATTAAATCGGTAAAAAATTATCAAAAACTAGTAAAACGGAGATTCTGATTTA